GTACTTTGAATTTTATGCTCTACACATTAAGAGGAAGGTGTGACTCTGCCCGGAAATTGCTTTATGAGTACCTCTCCTGTGTAGCTTAACTGCGGATAGTCAACATATATGAGGGGTGGAGGGGAATTAATATGTCCTAGAATTACTGAGGTCTTTTGACTGTAGTTGTTTTCTATATATATTTTTAAGTAATAGAGTCTTCAAAGGTCTTGAGTGGGGGATTCATTTGATAAAGCCAAAAGCCAAATACTAATTCTTTTATTATCCTTTTAATTTCTTAGAAATATTATAGCCCATGCTTGTTGATATTCTACATATTTGCTCTGTTCCTCTCATAAATTTTATCTGGGGGTATTAATCACTTTATAGAAAAAGAAAACTCAGTATTATTCTAAGAATTCTCTTCTGTCTTCATGCTCTAATCATGCAAAGAGAGAAGTCTTCAGAATAGGAAACTTTCTCAGGGATTTATGTGCTTCAAGTCAATCTTTTCAATGCCCTTTTTATAGTTAAATGTTTTTACAGACATAGAGAGTTTCTTTACAATATAAAATTTACATATTTCACTTTTTTTATTACTAATTTATAAGATTTCTGTAATTGTATTAAATATCATTGTACATCGATGAATATTAGTTGAATGAAACTCCATAGTTTTATTTTTCTATATATTTAGGATAGGTAATATTTGTAAAGACTTTTATAATCTGTATAGTGTTGCTTTTAATCAGAATTAAGTATTCCACACTATATATTTTATTTTTGTTTTAATCTAGAAACTTTCTTTAATTTTCACCTACAAATCACTCAAATCTAAAATCTAATCTATTGGAACTAGAATCTAAAATGCTATATAATCTATAAAAACTGCTAATAAAAATATGAAATTCTATATTTCACAAATTTTACTGTTAAAGAGATATAAGCAAAATTGTGTCTGTAGTTTTCTTTCCTAATTGTCAGCGTCCTCCATTCCCAACATGTACCATATCTGAAGTCAGAAGTTAACATAAATTATAATATACTAGATTTGTGTGATTTAAAAAAAAAAACCCACAAAACTAATTTGATATGTTTACTTACAGAGAGCCATATCCTAGAAGATGTCAACAAATGTATCATAGCCTTGCGAGACCAGGATGCTGATAATTTAGACCGAGCTGCCGGTGCTATCAGAGGTCGGGCAGCAAGAGTTGCTCACATTGTCACAGGTGAAATGGACAGTTACGAGCCAGGGGCTTATACTGAAGGTGTGATGAGAAAAGTTAACTTTCTTACAAGTACTGGTAAGTCTCAGTCTCCAATAACTGCTGCACTGTTTCTGATATTTGAATCTACATAGCTACCAATTATTTATACTTGAAATTCTTGGCCTGTGTTGATTGTTTTGAAATAGATTGCTCTACTATCTAATATTGATAGGTGCTTGCATCCTGTGGTTATGTGATTAGAAATTTATCTCTTAGAAGTAAAGATATTCACTGGGGAAAAGAAGTCTCTTATAAATATATGCATTATATAAGTTACCGACAATCCTTAGCCATTTATGAATGTTTATTAATACCAGAGCTGTTAGGAAATACAATTACACCAGGTGTGATAAATTCATAATAGTTTTCAAACCCTCTTTTAGCTGTATCACTGGTACTCCCAGGTTTTTGTTTACATTACTCAAACAGGGCAAACTTGTCCTATGTTTCCTGAGAAATGCTCTCTATCTTCTTTTGTGCTCTGTTTGCAAAACAATATTTTGTTTTTTCACATAATCTTTTATTACGTAAGAAATATGGAACCAAGATTTTGTTTTGGTTGCAGCACACTATATAGTTTCTAAAATGAGTTAGTAAATGCTTTGTTCCTGAATCACTCAGTAAAATGGCATTCTTATCTTTAACACTATTATTAATATTTCTCCAAGAAACTTACAGAAACATTCAAATTCAATGGATTCAGAAACAATATATATAATTTGGATGAAGGCAATCAACTATTTTTATGTCATTGTGACAGAACTTTCTCCTGTGAAAATCCCTTGAGATTTGTAAAATCTCCGTGTTAAATTTTTCTTACTAATTCTTTCTTAAGTTTAGGTTGATGGTAAACCCATTATTCTTAAAACATTTGAGGTTCCATACTTAAACCATCAGTCCTATCTAGAGAATTGTTCTTTATAATATGCAAAGGGCATATTGAATTTAGACAATATGTACATTGTGTAACGAAAGGGATAGAAAGGATGAAGATCTGATAATTTTGGTGGGAGGTGGAGAGGAAGATCAACCTTGCAATTAATTAAGAGAAACATATCAAGAGTTGAATAACCTTAAGTAAGGACTAGTTCTGAAGAGATATATCACAAGGTAAGCTTAGCAAGGTTTGTAGATAACCGATATTGGTGTTGCTTTTTTCCTAGCATGTTGATATAGAAAATTATTGATGAATCTTGACACAGTTTTCTCATTATCTCTTTTTAAAATATTTCTGAAACAATAAAACACTAAAGATATGCTAAGGAAAATGGAGGAGATATATCTGCAACTCTTGATATTCTATTTCTACATGAATTCCACAGAAGCCACTGGTGTCACCAAAAAAGCACATGGTAGTTGCTTTAGCAATGAAATATTTACTTACTTAAGAGGACAATTGTGTTATGGTAGTTCAGCATCTCTTTCCTAAACTAAGTTTAACTGGTTCTTTCTTATTGGTCAAAATCAATTATAGTTACCTGTTTTTTCTTCTACTTTCTGAAAATTAACTGTAAGTAATTTTTTAGCTAAATGAAAATTTCTGTAGGGAGTTCAATAGGTGAAGTCTACCAGGGTTTTACCTATATCTTGCCTCTGTCTCAGTTTCGTACTCATATTAGTAATGTCTTGTGAAGACACTCTTCTGGTCATAATGTCTGTACAAAGTACCAAGTTGATATTCTCTATAAGACCAAGCCCATATCTGCCATATTCAAAGAAGTGGAAGCAAAATTCTAAAGTCTCTAGAATGTGAAATATGTTGTGGGAACACTCTTTTCAAAATCAATTCCTATGATCTGAAATCAGAAAATAAAAATGAAACAAAGTTATTTACACATTTAATTACAAGTTTGTCTATACCTCTATGAATTATGACTTTATAAAATAATGAGCCAATATGGCCACATTATCATAATCAAAAGAGAGAGAAGTCTTTTTTCCTCAAATTTGTATGTAACTTAAATTAAAATTCTCCAGCTAATTATGTCCTGTGCCCAAAATATAATAAATATAGATTAATCCTGAGTTACTCTTTATAAGACACAACTTATTAATATAAAAATATAGTTTATGACTCTTTATTTTGTCATTTTATTTTTCAGATAATTTTTGGTTTATCTTCAGAGAAGGCTTTATATTTTTGTTTTATATGTCTAATTCCAACTTTTCTTAAAATAGCTTTCCTTGAAATTTATCAAAAGCATGCCTCATTAAAGGGAATTCTGAGCAATAAATTCGATGGATACACTAATTAGATTAATGTGATCCTAACCAAAGCTGAAATATGTTAGCATTTTTCTCTCCCATAGAGATATTGTCTATGAAACTTGCTTCCAACTATTCTATTCTCCACAATTAAGTAACAGAAGGTGTTCATCTTTGTTCACATCTGCTCATAACTTGGACTTATTATTTACAAATAATTATCAAATTAAGTAATTGAAAACGTCATGTTTTGTGTTATGAAGCCGTAATAGTTCACATTTTAGCAAGTGAACGGTCTTTATATGTGGCCTGCTTTCCTTTTTCTCTTATTCAATTCTCAGGTCTTAACCCTGATTTCTGAAAATAGCTTAATAAGGAGCTGCCACGAATTATTTTTATTACTGAGACCTTCTTATATTTGAAAAATTTTTCTTAAAGAACCGTCATCAATGATGAAACCTAAGCCATATTTATCTAAACCACAAAGAATATTTTTGGAACATTTCATCTTTGATTTTAATCAAACTCTGTGTCTCATTAGCACATTTTTAAGATTTGATGATCTTCTAAGCGTTTTATCAGCATTAGGAAACAGAGTTGCCATGTTACATTTCAGGAATTTGCATTGTTCACAAACCTTAGCAGTTGGTTTTAAGTGAAATGTTGACAACGTCTAGAATGCTGCATTTCATTTGGACAGAGGCATAATATTGTAATCTCTGTGTGAAATTCTTTGTTCTGTCCAATTCTTCCCTGTTACTAAGCTTCTCCCCTTGTCAGGAATTTCTGATAAGGGAGAGAAAATAGAATGGCTTTTTTGTTAAGTAACAAACCTTCTGGATTACAATGTGAAAGTTTAGAAGTTATAGTCTTATCATCAACTTCAGTTCTTTCACATTAGGTTGAGGGAAAACCTAAACCAATAGTGGACTAACATAGTATTTTTTGGGTGTGATTTATGGATGCTATCAAATTCAGAAATTAGGAAGCCCAAAAACATCTGTTGCAAACCTTCAAACCCCACCTGGTTTCAATGTCAGCCAGGCTCATGGACCAAAACAAAACAGAGACATAAATGAACCTGACTAAAACATCCTGGTGGCATCCACCATTGGCAACTGGCAGCAATGGCAAATAAAGAGTCATTCATCAAGTACTCTTCTCGGCCCATCTGGAAAGTGCGTACCCAGAATCCTCTCCCTATTAGAATAGAGAAGAGTCATATAGTAGTATTTTTTTTTTTAAGGCAAATGAGACAGATGAAAAGAATTTAGAGTCCACAAGTATTTTCAAAATTTTGTTATAAATGTTTTTTGAGACCAGTTTAAACAACAGATGATACACTTTTAAGATAAATTTTATCTAAAAATCATTTTTAGTAGTCAGTAAGTCCTATCAATTCCATTTCATTTATTATTTTTCACATACAAATATCCTGTATTTTTTAGCCTGATTAAACATGCTATTTTCCTTATGTTGCATCTCTTTTCTATAACCTTAAATGGTGATAGGGTAAAATACAAAAGCTTTGGTTCTAGCAATCTTTGCTCTCTCTCTCTCTCTTTCTTTCTCTCCCTCTATGATAGATGATAGCTAGCTATCTAGCTATAGATAGATAGATAGATAGATAGATAGATAGATAGATAGATAGATAGAAGATAGATGACAGATAGATAGATAGATAGACAGACAGACAGACAAATAGATGATAGATAGACAAAAAGATAAATTCAGATTAGTGGCATATTGGGCATAATGTAACATATGGGAAGGTCTGGCAACACGAGAACACTAGAGCAGAGTTCCCTGTGGAAATGGCTGGAGCTTAGTGTTGTCTTTCTTTTTGTTGAGCCTGGGCCATAGCCTTCTCCACTTCCTCTCAATGCATGTCCAGTCTGCTTTGCTCACTTAATTTACTTGCCTGAACTTTGTAGGCATTTGAATTCATCTAAACATGCATTTCTTTTTTTTTTTTTTTCTAGAGTGGGCCAGAAGGCACCTCTACTTCATCTAAGTCGATACTTTCATAGTTATGCAGACATGCCAAGATCATTTCTGTTTTTCAGTCTTGTCTATGCTATGCCTGTCATTTTAAATATTCTCATCCTTTATTTCTCACATCAAATTTTATCTTTCAAGAAACAGTTTATTTCTTGTGCCCTCTAGAACCTTTTCTTTACTCTCTCTGGCAACTGAATCCATTCTAGTGTCATGTATTATAGATTTTAAAGGACTTGCCACTTAGTTTCATCATTCCAGACAACTATATGCCACTGATGAACTCTTTAGAAATGCCTATATATAAATGACTTTTCTTTCCAAGTAGAATGTGACCTATGGGAGAAAAGGAAATGTATTATTTCCTTTTGCATCTCTCTCAGAGCCAACCATAGTGTCTTGCATGTGATAGATCAAAACAAAACAAAACTACTCTTGAATCGAGTCTACATGCCTTTGCTAATTCTATTTCAGTAGTAAAACACTTTTCTTCTCTATCGTCTCACTAAAATTATAATTATTCTTCAATACTTTCTCAAATGCCACCACCTTTGTAAAGGAGCTTCTGATTTCCTTTCAGTTAGAATTAATTGCTTCATTATCTGTGTTACCATGGAAGAGCTTGTACTGTAGTTAATGCCTCTTTCATTTTGCCTTGTACCATAATCAGCCATTTACATACAAGTTTCTCCCATTAGATTGTAATATCTTTAAAGGCAGACACCACACCTTATTTATTTTAACATTTATTAGTGTTATTTTACACATAGTAGAAGTGCCCAAGTCCTTCTCCCAACTTTAAATTTAAAATTCACTACAAGGTTATACTATGA